CTTTCACCTAGGAATATTCCCCAAATTTCGAATCCCTAGCATTTTTTGTTCATGAGTTATGAGCGGAGGCCCAGACTTTTGAATGAGCCGCCATTTTTTGGCCGCCATTTTGTCAAAAATTGAGGTATCGACAATCGGTTTGCGCCAAAAGTTTTCTTTTTTTAAGCCCTTTCGAATGATGTATCACAAGATAGGGGTTCCCATTGGAAAAAAAAAAGTTAGGGTCCGCCCCCCCTCAGGGGGGCGCCCCCCAAAATTTTGGGTACGCCAAAAAGTAGTTCCCTTTGACCTAGGAGCATTCCCCAAATTTCAAATCTCTAGCATTTTTTGTTCAAAAGTTATAAGGGGGGTCCCAGACTTCTGGATAACCCTGTATAGCGGTTATCGGAACCGTGAAATTACTGCATTTTAAAGATTCTGTATTCGCTCACGCTGAGAAAAAATCCCAGCAATTAATTGAAAATTTTTTAAACAGAATTAATATTGATAGCCGTGTTTTACGAAGATTCTACTGTTTTTCTATGGTAAGATTGTAGTTTTGATGGAAAGTTTTGCTAAAAATTTTCTACATTGAATTTATAGGTATTTAAGCAGAAAGGAAGGAGAGAAAAAGAGAAAGGAGGGTAGGAAAGGGATAAAACTTGAGGGCCGAAACTTAAGGTACGGCAATTAAGACGCGGAATGCCGCCGCGGAATCGTACGCGGCGGACGACTCGAGCGAGCGAGGCGTCAAGTAAGTTTCCGCTCCGCCGTGCCCGGCAACTAAGCAGCGGAATCGCCTCCAAAATTCCGTCGTGTCCGTCGGCAGTCTCGTCATAAATCAGTATCCGATGATAACTCGCGAGTGTGTCTTTTGACTTGATACAAAGTACAATGAACACTCACCACGTTTCAAAATCTCCAATATTTTTCAAGAGAATACCAACCAATATATCCGTTTGTAAAATTTCTAAAAGTATCATTGAATCAGCAAAAAAATGTTTAAAAATAGTCAAAGATAAGCCTCCCATCAACAGTTTCAAATTAACGAATGAAACGTGAGCAGAGAGTTGCATTCTTGCAAGCAAAGACACGCATTTTTTTTTTACTTTTAGGCATGATGTTCAAAACAAATTGGTCGATTATAGGTTTCTCTATAGATATAGCAACGTCTAAATAAATTATTCAGGTGCCGAAAAGCTCTAAAATAGTTAGTTCGTTTTGTTTTTACAGATTTATCTCCTGGAGAAAAGGTGTCATGTTTCTTTTACCTACTTGTGTCGTATTATTTGCACCTGGCACGAGTTAGGAATGCCATGCGTTGATATCGTGCTACAAACATATTTTTATTTCATGAATCCAATAATTCACGATGGCCCGCAATTTTCCATTGGTGTTGCCACCGCGATCCACGTTTCGGCAAGTAGACATGAAAAATCATCGAAAACCTCGACGGACGAGGCGGAATCTCCGAGGGATTCCGCCCCGATCTGTTCTCGACAGATCGCCGCGCCGTGACGCCGCGGACTCCGTGGCGTCGCTCCGCTCCTTGGTTGCCGCTCCCATTGAAACGCGTGTAACAGATTTCCCTTGCGTCCGCCGCGTACGATTCCGCGGCGGCATTCCGCGTCTTAATTGCCGTACCTTTAGGCCTCCCCTGAGCGACCGTCCCCCTTGGAGCCGGTCTCCGACATTTTCCACCTCTGGGCACCCCCAAGCATGAAGGTCTAGAACCGCTTATGTTGGTTCCTATAGACTAAGGAAGAAAATGATGGACTAACTGTCGGGTCTTTGATGGGTTGCCGTTAGTTGATTATCATGACAGCATTGAATCGTTCCATAATTTCAGCTACTTGTCATTTTTTTTCGAATTTTAAGATCGCCTTTCTGTTGTCACGAGTCTAAAGAATTCATGTACCAAATTTGACAAAGAAATCCAACGTAATGAAGGCAGGTTTTTTTTAGAGAAAAAATATCGCATTCGAGTGCAGTTTCGATATCAGTATCGAACACCGGGAAAAAAGTGAAGTTGATTTATCATTCTGGATGTAGAAAAAGTGTGCGAGTAGGTACCTAAAATATGCTGAATCACCCGCCATAGCAGTTAGTTTTACATCCTGGCATTGCTAAAGTGACTGCTACAGCGGGTAATTCAGCATTTTATAAGTTCTCGCCCACTTTTTTTACAACCAGAATGTTAAATGGATTGCATTTTGCAAAGAGGAACCACCAGCATTGCAATGTTGCTAAGATTGTGCAACTTCTTTTGTCTTGGAGGGAAAGCCCGATTATCCATTAATAGTTTCAATTTTACTCGCTAAAAACTGTAAATTTCAGACAAAAATTACCATCTAAATTTCATAGTTTTTCACGATTTCCGCAATTTCATTGCAAAATATGAAGTTGCACGATCTTAGCATCATTGCAATGCTAGTGGTTCCTTTTTGCAAAATGCAATCCAAATCAACTTCACTTTTTTTTCGGTGAATGCAATTTTTTTCCTTCGAGAGGAGGTAAAATGAGGAGTGTAAGCTATAACCGCGTATAAAAACTTTAATGCGAAAGCATCGATAAAAACTGGAACTCTCGCGCTATGATTTGGCCGTCGGGCTTGGAGGGAGGGCGAACTACTGCTGGGGCTCGGCGTCGGAGGCGTTGCTCGGGCGCGCCCGTTTGGCGCCTATCGTGCTCGCCAGGGACTTCCAGAACTTGGCGTCCTCGGCGTTGGGGTCCTCGACTTTGGGCGCCGGCGGGGGCTCGCTCCGCTTCTGGACGCTCGGCCCCTCCTCCGCGTCCTCGTACAGCGGCGAGAACTCCCGGTTGAGCCGCTCCAGGTTCGACTCCCGCTTCTCCGTCGCTTCCCGACGACCGCGCGAGACCCAGAACTGATCATCCTTCTCCTCCGATCCACCTAGAAACCAAACGATCTCGTTGAAAGGATGTAAAGAACAGTCTACCGGAGGTAGAGATTTTGCGGACTGATTATTGATATTGATAGACAAAGCGATAGACAAAGAAGACATAGGGAGTATGGAGTTACCCTGTTGGTTGAAATGGGTGGTTCTTATGGACTAAGGGGGTAAATGATGGACTAACTATCGGGTCTCTCGTGGGTTGCCCTTAATTAATATATTACCTACCTTCTATGTCCATTGCAACAAGCCGCATCCACCAATAGGATCCCTCCATGTCTCTTGTGTTTTCATTGTCTATAGCTTTGTCTATAAATTTCAATATTCGGCCCGCAGGTTCATAGATGATGTCAGCTAGAGTACTTTTATAGGGAGAGCATGGTCACTGCGGTTACCATCTCTAATGGAGATGTTGAAGATGTGAGGAATTTGTGATTTGACTGTTGACTTTTATGTAAAAGTTCGCTAGAGACACGATGGCACCACTGGTTTTCTCTGAAATCAACTTCCAAGCTCAAAAAAAGCTCTCAAGTTGAAGCCAAAATGGAGGGGATATCCCACCCTACCCTAAAGTTCACCTCTACATCAAAACAAACTTTCCATGCAAAGATAGGGAGCAAATTCATTAGCAGGGTTGCCGTGTTTTCAGTTTTGGAGTCCCAAAATAAAGTGGCAGCCCTGTCAATGTATTTGCTCTCTATCTTTGCATGGAGAGTTTGTTTTGATGTAGAGGTGGACTCTCAGGGTAGAGTGAGATATCCCCTCCATTTTGGCCTCAACTTGAGAGCTTTTTTTGAGCTTAGGAGTTGATTTCAGGGAAAACCAGTGGCACCATCGTGTTTCTTGCGAACTTTTACATAAGAATCAACAGTCAAATCGCAAATTCCTCACACATGCAACATCTCCATTCAGTGAAATGTTTAAACCGATTCAACCGACAATTTTTCTGTAAAAAAATAAAATGGCGGCGGAAATTTTGAAACGTCGCATGGCGCCTGTGATACTCCGGCTGGAAGGTGACGAGATGGTGTGAAAACAAACCCGCCATTTTTGGGCCCTAAGTCCTCCATGGGGCTCATTGTCCATGCTCTCCCTATAAAGGTACTCTAGCGTCAGTGAGCTAATTATGGACCAGTAGATAAGATACGAATTAATGCATTCTGCTATATCGACGGTGTCAGTCCGCAACCACGTATCTCAGTTTGTGACATTGAAGACTTCCTGACATACTTCATTTTTTAAATGGGAAACTACTCAACGGTAATGCTCAAAAGCTGCCATGATTTTCCTCTCTGAGTGCAGAAAATTCTGCGAAAAATTCAAGGAGTGATCGCGATTTGTTTTCTTTTAGAAAAATAAAATAGGAGCGGAGATTTTCAAACACCACAAACGAGGTATGTGATTGTCGACTCACGCCGTCGATAAGTAGTATAGTGCGATCCTGTTGGTAGAAATGGGTGGTTCTTGTAGACTAATGGAGAAAATGATGGACTAGCTAAAGGGTCTCTCGTGGGTCTAAAAAGTGGGGAAAAAGTCTATGCAGTATGAAAATATGACAATCTCAATCTTGGCGCTTTGACTCAGTTGTTCCTCGTTTTTGAATCTTTAAACAACAAAAATTGAGAAAAAGAACAACTAAGCTTCTGTTTTCACAACTATAACTGTTGGTAACGTCAAAAACACAAACAGTGGAGGATCTGCGTAAGACAGAGAGAGAGGTGGAGAGAAAAGAGTTGACCAAGCAAGCAGAGCACCACATTATTAAAATAAAAATGTGATGTTTTGCTCCCTCAGAAGTGGATTTGTTTTTCTGCGAGAGAAGCTGCTGGTTTTTTTTTAAAAAAAAATCTTCTCCCTAATCGAGTGTTTTTTAATCCTGAGATAGGTACATGAATATTTTTCGAAAAGTTGCATACAAAAGAATATGCTCTCAAGCGCTTCCTGCAAACAGAATTAAGTCTAGAAACAATTAACTTTCTTGCTTCCCCTAATCTCTGTCTCTTCTATAGGGCCCAATGTCATGGAGGGAATTCGCATATTTAATTGTGTTATCTCTTAATATATCATTATATCCTAGACGAAAAAACTTAGCTCCATGCAAATTTCCTCACATAATTCAATGGTTTCAAAAATGGGGCTATGCAATTTCTGTTCAAAATTTTGCTGATTTTTATGTGTTATCAAAAGAGCAATCAGTGAAGTTTTTTATTGAAATTCTCGACAGTCTCCTGATGAAATACAGTTTTTGAGTGGGAATTTGGCAACAGGAGGTGCAATAAGTTCTTTTCTCTAAGAAACGACGATATTTATAGTTAAAATGTATAAATAATAATAAATCTATAACAAACCGGAATGTTACGAAATGACAGTTAATAAGCTATTAAACTTTCAGGTGAAGACAGCCCAAAGGATACGCGAATTTTTCAATTGCTTCAGATAGCTTCCTGAAATACGAATAAAGGTCGATAGTACTTGAAAACCTATTCTCCTGTTTGCAACTGATCAAAAAACCTCCAGCGGTCCCAAGATTATTCTGGGTACCATTTTGTACCTCGTCTTTCCAAGAGTATATGTTGAGGCTCTTCAACATACATTGAGTAGTTAGCGCTGAATGGCGTGTCACAGCATGAAGCAAGTCTCTGCTGCCGCTTTCGCACATTAAACCTGTGGAGAAGCAAAATAAAAAATACGTAACTCATTAACTATAGAGTTGTGAGACAGTATAGGACAACAACAGCAGAAGTTCTGCCGTGCTAAGGAAGAACGCTATGAGAACATTCGAGAGTTGCCAAATTTCCTTCGATAAAATATTAATTTTCAAAGGAAGTTATGAATATTTTTCTTTGAAATGTTCAGGAGCTTCAGGTGAAATTGCGAACAAAATTATTTAAAAAATTGAAAGGAAAATATTCATACGTTTACCAGGAAATTCGTGTTTTATCAAAGGAAATTTGGCAACGCCTGAAGGTCTATACGGCGTTTTTCCTTAGCAAGGCATAGTTGGACTTGACTTAAAAATGACAACAAAATTGTGAAGAATGACCCAGACTATCCGATGATATATTGAGCTACATTTTGTATCAGTCACTATTTTTGGTTCACTTCAGAAACCACATACGTGTCATTAGACCCCTTATACAGTTAGGTACTTTTGTGGATGAGGCGGAAATAGTGGCTCTTAATTGCAAAATGTATTCTAATGTTTTTTTAACCCTTAGATGCCCAAGTTGGGTCGAAGTGACCCGATGCCCAAAAACTCGTGGCCTATGGGTTTTATGAGGCCGTTGCGTTCGAGTTTTAGTTCAAATGCATCGTAGTAAATGAATCATACATCAAATTGAAAAGAAGAAAAAAATCGAGTTTAACTTTTCCCACATCCAAGCGACACCCCGCAAGCAGCATAGAGCGGAGCATTGAAAGTTTACGCCTCGCGCCATCGCGCCTTCAATTTTGCGGATGCAACATGGACATCCACCAGGCACGAATAGTTGTATCTCTGCGCCGTTGTCAACACGCGTCCTTCCTCTTGCTATATTTTCATATTGAGTTGGTGTCCATTTTACATATTTGTGGTTGTGCTTCAATTACTACGTAAGCAACACAGCTAAGGGTAAGAGAGATTTATTCACGTATAGTTTTTTTTATTTCTCCGCCAAATTTGAGCGACACCTCATTGGCGGCATAGCGCGGAGCATTGAGATTTCACGCCTCACGCCTTTAATTATGTTTGCGCAAAATGGATATCTATTAAGCACGAATAATTGTATCTCTATGTGCGATTTGAGAAAAGTCAAGGTTAAGGTTGCTCTAAATATGCTACTATGTGTCCAAACCAACAATAATTGTGAGGGGGGAAAAGTTTAGAGGTCTCTAATGCGCCCTAAAGAGTTCACGTCAAAAAATAGATATTTTGGCGAGAGTTAAGTCGTATCGGTTTTTTTTTTTTTTTTTTTTTTTTTTCGGACGACCACCCCTAGAAATTTTGAGTAGGGTCACATGATCCAACCATCTCTTCTGCAGGATTTATACATGACAGATTAGTAGGGGGTAAGAAAGCGCTACTATGTTACCAAAAAAGTGAAATTTTCAAAGAAAAATGTCTTACCTTCAAAAACATAGCATTAACATAGATAATACTTCAACAACTGCTATCAAAATCAATGCACTTAGGTAATTATCAATTCGACCCAACCAGGGACATTGCGTGTAAAAAAAGCCTTGGGCATCTAAGGATTAAGTTTCAAGTAAAATCAGCCTATACCTCCATCTTCCGTTGCCTCATAACCTTCCATATAGATTGTTAGTATAGACTACAACGTTGTAAGTTTCCACTTATGTTTTATTTTTTTAAAGGAAAAGCATGTACCAGTTCTTTCTGAAATTTTGTGAATTTTTACTCATTCTATTAAAGTTACAGAAAAATACAAGGAAGTACCTACTTTGATTAGTTTTTCTTGATAAAAATAAATAAACGTTGCAATTGAGGTACGCATTTTTTAGCACTGATCACATGAATTTTTAATATGTGATTGTTTTTCAACTTAATTTCAATTTTCAATTCTTTCAGCGGTTTATAATGACCAGGGTCACCGGCCGAGACGTCCTGCGTTAATTTATTGTGTTTCAGCCTTGTTCCCCCATGAGTTTTCATTGTTTGTTTTCATATCTCTGTTAATATAAAACTGGAGGCTTAAAAATGACCCCATTGGTTTTTTCGTACTAACTTCTTTTCAAAGTCATCCCTAAAACCTCAGAATAGGACGGAATAAACATCATGTAGGTTTAAAGGATACGACCCTATGGCGAAGAGCAAGTCGACCCGTGGTTGAAACCTCTAAATCCGAAACTCACCATTTTTGGATGTGTGGTATGAGAGCCTCGGGATCCCTGTCGACAGCGAGGAGGGCCTCCACGGGCGGGCGGCTGTGGTGGTGGGTGTCGGGGTCCTGGTCGAGGGTCCGGCCGCGGTTGCCCCAGAAGGGGGGCTGCTCCTCCTCGGACTGGAACTCGCGCCCGCGGTTGGCCCAGAAGGGGGGCTCCGACTCCTCCGAGGAGCCCCCGCGGCGGCCGCGCGTCGGCCAGAACGAGGGGTCGATCTGCCCCCGCAGCACCTCCCGCACGTCGCTCCGCCCCACCCGGGCGTCCCCCGACGTCATGCACACCTGCAACGTGTCCGTCTAAATTACAGTTAGAGTCCCTTGGTCGAGGCAACTCCTCTCAAAATCAAGCTAGAACAGGCTCTTTTTAGTAGCTCTTTCTATATATAAGAAAACAAATTACACAGCGGGCAACAAGGCTGATTTTCAAGTAAATATCACCAGTACACCAGTATCACCAGTATCTATATTATACAGCTACAAGCAAAACCTTGGAAGCACTATTTCTGACGAACTACCGGACCGATAAGGATGATCTTTACATGTATGTCATCTGTATAGTAGATGTAGATGTGCAAAAAATTATGAAACCCCGAACTTTTAATGTTGTAGAGCTTTTAAAGCTCATGTCACTTAAGTCCAATGTTAATAGCGTGAGAGATATGTCGTTTCCGCTAGAAACTTCAAGGTGTGGGATTCTACCTGAGTGACTCGAATGAACAATAAAACAATGGAAAAGCTCGTGAAGGGCTCCTCATTTGAAGAATTGAGGAACGGTGCATCGCTCAGGGTTCAAGGTTCAAGGTCCAAGGTGTAAGGTTTAACTCGATTTTTCCTGCATTCTTCCGTCTTCGATTTGTGGCATTGGTCAATTCACTTGATTGCTGAATTTCTATTAATATTTACAGCAGATAAACAGCAGCTAAAAAGTGAGAAGGCAGGCGCTGCGTCGCGTCGGGACGGACCAAATATTATTAATTCTTAACGGTCGGAATCCGATTTTTTTTTTTTTAAATCAAGTATTTAAAAATAACATAATAAATGGAAATTTCTCCAGTAAGTGGACTGTGAAATTATGTACATCCAGCTATTCCTCATCATTTACAAATCTGAGTGTTACGTCAAAAATTTTGAAATCGATGCAGCTCGAACACAAAATGGTACGAGGGCTGTCCCAAAAGAAACCGGACTTTTGTCATAGAGGGCGAACCGAGCGTCGTAATGAAGTTTTCTTGGGCTTGTTTGAAAGCTGATAAGCTATTGGAGATACTGGTTTTTACAGAATGCAAAAATTCGTCTTGGTAAGGAAACTACACGCTTTGGAATAAAGGGAAGTCAAACTCGAGTTGCGATTTTTGTCTTTATTTCAAGAAAAATATAGATACAACTTAAAAAACCCAGGTTTTAAGTTAAAAACTTCGTTGCTCTCATTCAAATGCTTAAAAATAAAGGAAATTAACATTTTAAGCAGCTTACCAAGTCATCACCTATCCCCTCCAAAATACTCGCCAGCTTTGTCGATGCATTTTTGCCACCGTTTCTTCAATTGGGAGAAACACTGTAGGAAATCCTCAGGTTTGAATGATCGCAATTCCTTCAAGGTGAAACTGTCAATCGCGAATATTACAATGGTGTTCTGAGACGATTAAACGAAAATGTCCGCAGAAAAAGGCCTGAGCTTTGGAGAGAGAATTCCTGCTTTCTGCATCACGATAATGCACCTGCCCATGCATCCCTCCAAATTGGCGAATTTTGTGCAAAGAATGCCATGAGTGTCCTCCCTCATCCCCCTTATTCACCAAACCTGGCTCCGTGTGATTTTTTTATTATTTCCACGACTTAAATCTACCTTGAAAGGTCGACGTTTTCAAACCATTCCGGAAATTCAAGAGAACACCTTGAAGGAATTGCCATCATTCAAACCTGAGGATTTCCTACAGTGTTTCTCTCAATTGAAGAAACGGTGGCAAAAATGCATCGACAAAGCTGGCGAGTATTTTGAAGGGGATAGGTGATGACTTGGTAAGCTGCTTGAAATGTTAATTTCCTTATTTTTAAGCATTTGAATAAGAGCAACGAAGTTTTTAACTTAAAACCTGGGTTTTTTTAAGTTGTATCTAAATTTTTCTTGAAATAAAGACAAAAATCGCAACTCGAGTTTGACTTCCCTTTATTCCAAAGCGTGTAGTTTCCTTACCAAGACGAATTTTTGCATTCTGTAAAAACCAGTATCTCCAATAGCTTATCAGCTTTCAAACAAGCCCAAGAAAACTTCATTACGACGCTCGGTTCGCCCTCTATGACAAAAGTCCGGTTTCTTTTGGGACAGCCCTCGTATATTAAAATGGAAGAACATTTTTGCCTAAACATATAAGCGGGCCTGAGGGCGCGAGGCGCCCTCCCGGGAGTTGGGCCGCGTAGCGGTCAGGGGGCAGGGCCCCCTAGTTATCAGTTAAGGATAAAACAGTAAAAATTGTAAAAATCTAAAAACGCAGTACTTGACTCTACCTGCCAAAGCGAGAACAATGTTGTTATCAAATGTTACAAAAATGTGATAACAACATTGTTCTTGCTTTGAAAGGTACAGTCAAGCACTACGTTTCTAGCTGTTTACCAATGTTTTACTGTTTTATCCATCCGCGGAAGGCTGAGTTTTCAGCCGACACGTTTTGGTGATATATTTTGGCTATTGAAAACTAGCCTGCTTATTACCCACTGTGCAATTTGTTTTATCATTGTATATCTTGTCACGGGCTGCAAAGCATCAATCATATCTTTATAAGGTTTCCGGCAGGCTGATTATTGAAAGTGATAGACAAAGCAATAGAATAAGAAGACATAGGGAGGATGGAGCGATCCTATTGATGTTATCATGTGGCTGCAACGGAATAAGAAGGTAAGTAATAGACCGACTGGATTACATTTTGCAATAAGAAACCACTATCTCTGGCTCCCCTTTTGTTTTGTTCCAGCAATGAGCCAAAAATAGTGGCTCCTTATTGCAAAATTTGGTTCAACTATCGTCAGCGCGTGACCACGTGAACGTGAAAGTGAACCACATGAGACCCGATACTAAGTCCACTGTTTTCCCTTTTACAATGTAATGAGTCACCTGTTTCAACCAATAGAATTGATCTATTTGCCCTATGCCTTCATTATTCATTGCTTTCTCTACCAATTTCAACAATCAGAGCCTGCAGTTGATTCACAGAGAATGGACCACTAGACAAGGGGCGAATTTAAACATTATGACAAATGTTTTCTCATTAAAATTTCATGCAGAACACGATTTAAAAAAAGAATCATTAAAAGTAATTTCTAACCAAAATATTGAGGTTTCCGATACATAAATTCAAAGTTTCCATTGGAATTTCCTTCGAGGCTCCTGAAAATTGTCAATTTTGTAACATTATACCAAGTGGTCCTTTAATCTTCCTCAACCACAACGAAAACTATATTGGTCCTTATCCCATGGGAAAGAGCTAGTTCGAGAGATACCTATGAAAACGGCTGTGTATTATTCCCTTTTTCTTTAAGAGGAGATTTGGCGGGTTGATTTCACAGAGATCAACAAAAGTATTTATTGGTCGACTATAAACAAATCAGCAGCATGTGGCATAGTGCAAATGATTTTCCAATAGTCATTTTGTGTGCAGAGGCGGATCCATGCAGCAATATGGCAACACCGGATTGCCCCCATTAAGCCTATGTTAAAGAATCGATTCTTATCGGAGCAACTGGCCCCTCCAAGAATCGATATATTTCCATAGGTTTAAATTGAGAAAAGACAATGTTGCCAATTTGCTGGATCCGCCAATGCTTGTGTTCCGCGCAACAATGACATTTAAATCTAGGTCATTGGCACTCTTTCTACTCTGTGGTCCCTGAGGAAACTACGCTCACTCGATTTAAACGAAATTTTGAGAGGCTCTAGAAATTGCGATCGAAGGGCGAAGGTTTTTTTGGAGGCTTGAAGATTGAGCTGTCTGATTTGCTTAACAACCTTCCCACATGAGACCACGTGTCACCCTATTTTACTCTCGCTTTTTGCGTCTCAATTACTCCGCACTTGATTTTGACCAGTTTTGAGTTTTATAGTTGGATGCGGATTCCTCGATTGAAGATTGAGTATCCAATATTTGTTACATTGCTTCTGTTCAATGCAAAAACATGAAAAATAGATGTCTTGGAAATAGATTGTTTTGACCCTGTAACTCTTGATTTATTTGGTAGTTTTTTAACTTCGTCTATTAATCTACTATTAAAGGGAATATTATACTGAACCATTGAGATGTGGTTCACATTTACCTCAAGCCTGTTTCTCTTTTGCAAAAGGAACGAGTAAAATAGAATTGTTCTTCTAAATTGTGAAAAATATTTAAGAAAATCTTTTTTTACACATCATTACTTGTGTTATTTGAATATAAATAACATTCATTTTTTAGACATTAAAAATTTCCATATGTTACCGTCCAATGTAAGCTCTTTAACTTAAAAAACTTAAAGTTGATTTGTAACACTGTTTAGAGAATTTTGTCGTTTTCTATAAAAAAGACCCGGAATGTCAAACCAAATCGAGCTTACAAAGATTTGAAGCTTGCAGCTGAAACTTATTTTCTTGAAAACCGAAAATGATTTAATGTAATCAAATACACTAATTATTTTCAGAGTGTGACTAGACTCGACTGGTAAGTAAATCAAGCAGGTGTGTAGAATATACTAGAACCTGCGATATTCATCTCTCGGGTGAACAATGCTGGGTGAAAATTTCAAAACACTGCACATAAATCCCACCGGTTCTGGCATTTCACATCGAAGATGGTAGATGTTTTATTTGAAGCATATCTACACGCTTGAAGGCGCTTGGTACGGTCAGAGACAAGAGACCCTCCACTCGTATCTCGGCTATTGTGGAAGCTTTTACTTTCGAGACTTCAGCATTTAACTGTTGACTTACCTACTTGGTTGATGTTTAACAAAGTGTTAGCAGTTTCGTTTTGTAAACAAGCCAAAACAAGTCGAAATTTGGGAAACTTGTTCGGCTCATGACGTCACCCGAAGCTCATCATCCACAATGTAGATAGGTCAAGAGCCGAAAAAAGAGTGATGACTGTTGCTCCCTTATAATTGGACGTATATCTGTCAAACGGAACTAAGCGCCAATTTGAGTTCCTTTTGAGGACTTTAGAATGCCGGATAGCGCGTTCTATCAAACGGAACTAAGCGCCATGGAAAAGCATTGCGAGTATAGGAACGAATGAGCCCGACGCCTAGTTCCGCCGCCAATCCAAGCCCCCCTCTACCTTCCTCCCCCGATGGCGCTTAGTTCCGTTTGACAGGGAAGTGTTGAATCCCCGAAAATAAAAGTTTCCACCTGTCGCCAAGAGGCCTGCGGAGGGTCTCTTGTCTCTGAATACGGTGCGCGCCAAGTATTCCTCACCTCCATTCTCATGAAAAAGTGATGAGGAGCGCTGGAGAGACGTTTGTGTGGTCAATAAAAGAAGATTAGGTAAAATAATTCTGCCGTGATAGCGAAGAGAGCCGTAAGTGCAAACATGAAGTTTTGAGAAAATGGGCTCAGTAGTGTCTGAGAAAGGAGCCTTCGTTCTTTGTCAAATTGTCACTCATAGTCCGAGGGGTTTCTAGAAATCGTTTGGATGATGAAAAATCGACCGATTTTATTTCAATTACATAAAAAGGGTATTTCTCGTTTTCTTGTTTAGCTAGTGTTAGTCAAGATAGCCGTAAATACTATCTTCTGCATGCTTTCGTGGTTGCGTTTTGGACACACAAGAAACACATTTTCAGGTTAGAAATTGGCAGAAAAGGGCGGCACTTTACTTGAAAGCACTGTTTTCATTGGCCCTCTAGAGGAATAATGTCACTTACTGCTGTCTTGCCTGAAACTGCGTCATTTTTTGCGCACACACGGCTTTCGCTCATGTCTCGTTTTTATACAAATCAGACGAATTTTGCTGTTTCTATTTCAGTGATATCATTTAAATGAGATTAGATAAATTTTGAAGGAAACTCGATTTAGAAAATTTGACACTTACTGCTCTCTTCGCTGCCACAGTGGTATTTTCATACTCTCTTCTCGATGCACGACAGCCGTCGTGCATCAGCAGAAACAAACAAGGAAGATGAGAAATGCTCAACTCCGCCCGTTTGAATAAAAGCTCCAAACACAGTGCGGTCGACGTGTAACCTGTAACGAAAATTAGCGCCTACAAGACCGAGTGAATACTTCACGCATTGCACCAAACACAGTAAGGTACCTCGGGTAACTCGAGATTAGAAATTCGCTGAATTTCGCACGAATTTTGCTGTTTTAGCAATTTCAGTGATTTTATCTAGAGGAGTTTAGACGAATTTTTAAGAAAACTCGATTTCGAAAAGTTGACACTTATGGCTCTCTTCGCTATCACGGTAAAATAATTTGCGCGGAACCATTGCCATTTTCAAACCGTGCTCAAAAGATTCACAGCCGAGCTTTATCTTCCAAGACTATCGTTGCGAATATTAAACTGGTGAGCATGAGCTCTTGTTTTTATAGCATATGCAAACGAAGTGAGCGATAGTAGCGGTTTTTGTTTTGTATAATTTGTTCATACACTAAAAAACACTAAAACTTGACTTGTGACACTCATATTCCCAGTTTAATATGAAATGATCCGTATGTACCGGAAACTTTTGTTTTTAAATCTCTACTCGAAATGCTCCAGCTTCGAAATAGTGGTATCCATTATTTACAATACTGGAGGAAGAAAGGAAGAAGAATGCTGCAGAAATATATTTGCCTTCAATCGAATAGGTATACTAAACGCGTTCTCCTCAGTCAAAATAGTGGTGCCTCTCACTCAGGATTCTCGGAAGATAAAGAGGTGTGCCACGTATGCAAAATAGTGGTGAACATCTCCGAAATAGATTCGCCTTCAAGCAACGAGGTATACTCAGCACCGTCTCCTGAGTCAAAATAGTTGCACCTTTTACTTTGAACTTCAGGGATCCGAACTAGGCCTTTGCTCAAGGTCAAACCTTATACGGCTCCTTCCTTTAGGAATTCATAGTCTGTTTTGTATTTAAGGGACTTTTGACATGGTATCATGTAGAGGACAATCATTACAAACATCCAGTAAAATTGAACGGAATAACTTCGGAAATGGATCTTAGCAAGAGATCGCCCTGATTTGCAGGTACAAAAAGTGCAACGCAAAAACTTGTGGATTTCAAGCGTTCAACGGCAGGTCCGTATTTATCTAAAACTTTTTAAAGAATAAAAAAATTCAATCTTTTGTAATTCTGATTTTTTGAAATGGGGATCTATATTAAAAATTGCAAGGATTTTTTCCGAAATCATGAATTTTACTAAAAACTCATAACATTTGGTCTTTTAATACTTCTCTATCCCTCTCCTAACCAAATGGGACTGTTCGGCTTCACTGAGAATTATTAGGCTGCATAAGGAACGACTGTGGCGGCCCTAAATGTCGCAATATTGATACTTCCGTATATTTATACACGTGAATCCATGCAGAGTCTTGTGTAAACCATTTCCATCGATTATTGTGTTCCGATGTACTCGTCCCACATATGAGGGGCTTAAGGACAAGGCGCATAAGCTTTGTCCATCAATTTCAACAATGAGCCCGGAGCAGATGAATAAACACTTGCGAAATTGATCCGCCTTCAAACGACGAGGTATGCTAGCCGCGTTCTCCTGGGTTGAAATAGTGATATCTCTTGCTCAGAAAGAGTTCCAAGTATTTAAATGTCAAAAAGACCCAGATCTGGTGAATGAACACTCGCGGATTTGATCCACCTTCAAACTACAAGGTATACTAAACGCGTTCTCCCAAGTCGAAATAGTGGTATCTCTAGTTTAGGAGGAGCTCCGAGTATGCAGATTCCGAGTTCTGGGGCAAAAACTCGAGTCAAGAAAACCCAAATCTGCAAGCTGATTGTTGAAATTGGTCAACAAAGCTACAGACAAATCAGACCAAAGGGATATGGAGGGATCCCATAGGTAGGTGGAAGCGGGTGGTTGCAATGGACATAGAAGGTAGGTAATAGACCAACTAACAGCAACCCATTAGAACCCTTTACCTAGTCCATCATTTTTCTCCCTTGCCTTAATCTAGGGGAACTACCCATTTCAACCAATAGGATTGTCCATACTCCTTGTCGACGGCGTAAGTCTGCAATCACACCTCGATTTGCGACGTCGCAGACTTCCTGTCATACTATTGTTTAAACGGGAAACTACGCAACGGCAATTCTTTAAAACTGCCGTGATTTTTCTTCTCCGTGCGAAGAAAATTCTGAAAAAACTTCAAGGAATGATGTCAATTTGTTCTCTTTTGAAAAGATAACATAGAGGAAGATATTCTTAGGCACCGCAAACGAGATATGTGATTGCGGACTTACGCCGTCGTTATGTCCTCTTTGTCCACCACTTTGTTCATCAATTTCAACAGTCAGCCCGCTGTCAGTCTGACAGGTGAATGAACAGGAACACTCTCGAAATTGATCCGCCTTCAAACGACGAGATATGCTAAACGCGTTCTTCCGAGTCGAAACAGTGGCATCTCTCGCTTAGAAGGAGCTCCAATTATGAAAATATCAAAAAGAACCAAATCTGTTTGTCTATCAGGTGAATGAACACTCCCGAAATTGATTCGCCATCAAACGACGAGGTATGCTAACTGCGTTCTCTCGAGTCAGAATAGTGGTATCTCTTGCTTAGGAGGAGCTCTAAGTATGGAAGTATCAAAAAGACTCAAATCTGTCTGTTTGTCAGGTAAAAGAACACTCGCGAAATTGATCCGCCTTCAAACGACGAGGTATACTACAAGTATACAGAACCAAATCTGTCAGTCTGCCAAGTAAATGAACACTTGTGAAATTGATCCGCCTTCAAACGACGAGGTATACTGAACGCGTTCCTCCGAGTCGAAATAGTGGTATCTCTCGCTTAGAAGGAGCTCCAAGTATGGAAATATCAAAAAGACTCAAATCTGTCTGTCTGTCAGGTGAAATAACACCCGCGAAATTGATCCGCCTTCAAAGGACAAGGTTCACTAAACGCGTTCGTCCGAGTCGAATTAGTGGTATTTCTTGCTTAGAAGGAGCACTCGGTATGGAGATATCAAAAGACCCAAACCTTTCTGTTTGTCAGGAGAAAAAACACTCCCGAAGTTGATCCGCCTTCAAACTTTAAGGTATACCAAACGCGTTTTCCCGAGTCGAAATAGTGGTATCTCTGGCCTAGAAAGAGCTCCGAGTATGCAGATTCCGAATCACAGGGCGAAAACTAGAGTCCAAGAGACCCTAATCTGCGAGCTGATTCTTGAAATTGGTCGTTCCACACTCTCTATGTCTCCTCTGTCCTCTGTCTCTCGCTTTGTCTATCAATTCCAACAATCAGCCCGCTGTCAGTCTGGCAGGTAAATGAATACTCGCGAAATTGATTCGCCTTCAAACGACGAGGTATACTAAACGCGTTCTCCCGAGTCGAAATAGTGGTATCTCTGGCTTAGAGAGAGCTCCGAGTATGCAAATTCCGAATCACAGGGCAAAAACTAGAGTCAAAAAGACCCAAATCTGCGAGCTGATTGTTGAAATTGGTCGCTCCATATTCTCTATGTCTTCTCTGTCTATCTTTTTGTCTATCAATTTCAACAATCAACCCGCTGTCAGTCCGCTAGGTAAATGGACACTCGAGGAGGTGATCCGCCTTCAAACTTTAAGATATACCAAACGCGTTCTTCCGAGTCGAAATAGTGGTATCTCTTGGTCAGAAGGAGCTCCAAGTATGGAGTTATCGAAAAGACCCAAATCTATCTGTTTGTCAGGTGAAATAACACTCGGGAAATTGATCCGCCTTCAAACGACGAGGTATACTAAACGCGTTCTCCCGAGTCGAAGTGGTGGTATCTGTTGGTTAGAAGGAGCTCCAAGTACAAATATGGAGATTAAACGGACTCACCTGGTGGAAGGCGGTGGCGAGGAAGACGACGAGCAGAACGGGAGCCATGCTCGCGCTCGGCTCGAGGAGGGAACACATTTTGAGGCGGAGCCGCGGTTCCGGCACCGTTAAATACCCGGGTCACCCGAGTGGGCTCGGCGGCTCGGCTCCCGTGAAAACACACGGGAAATCACTAGATTAAATTGAAAAAAAAGAAAAGGAAAGAAACGAAACGAAAAGAAAGAAAAAAGCGGTAAATAAACATATCCGGGTCGCGACGGATTCCGCTTAATGTGCTCTGATTGGCCGCCAGTCGCGGAGCCCACCTTCCGTTTTTGCGCCCCGCGTTTTCTTCGCGCTCCGCCGCGTTGCCGATCCGAAGGAATTCGCCGAAAGTTCACGAAAGTCACTTCAAGAACGGACGTTCACTGACAAAGGAAATAGAGTTTTGCAGGTTGATTATTGAAATTGATAGGCAACGAAGATATAAGGAGTATGGAGCGATCCTATTGGATGAAATGGGTGATGTAAGGTAGATATACATGGTGACACATGATATACATGGCCAATATTACCACCAAAATTCTAAAACTCTTCACCTCTCTTAATTTAAAAATCCAAATTTTCGTTTATACTCCCATTTTCAAAATTATCTGTAAAGACGTTAAAAGCCTGAGACGCTGAATGTCTTAAAATTATAATAACTAACTAACTGATATACATGGGTGGGTGATATACATTGGTAGACTAAGGGAGAAAATGATGGACTAAGACTAACTATGGGGTCTCTCGTAGGTTGCTATTAGCTAGTCTATTTTCTACCTTCTTTGTCTATTGCAACCACCCGCTTCCACCAACAGGATCCTCCTATATCCATTTTGTCTTCTTTGTCTATAGCTTTGTTTATTTATCAATGGATCACTAGACAAGGTACAAATTTCAGCATTCTGATACATGTTTCTCAATCAAAATTTCACGTAGAACACGATACGCACAACGAAAATTACCAAAATCAACTCCTGACGAAGCTATTTAATGATTCTTGATGCGTGAATTCAAACCACCCGCTCATGAAAACTCAATGCTCTACGTGATTCACATCGTGCGCTAAATGTTTATCATGACAGTCTCTGCGATGTAAAAATCTTCAACTTCAATCTTGACACTTTGGCTCAGCTATAGCAAATTACCAATAGTTTGAACAACACATGGTGGAAAATGAACATTGCTCGATTGAGAAGCTTGCTGAAACCGTTGTAGTGCGCGATTTGACTCACGTAGAGCTTTGAGTTTCTTGTGTGCGGGCAGTTCAAATTCCTCGTAATCAGTGCGAAATATAAACGTTAATATCTTCGTTAGAAGTTGATTTCGGTAATTTTCATAGTGTGAATCGTGTTCTACGTGAAATTCTGGTTAAGAAACATGTATCAGATTGCTTAAATTCGTACCTTGTCTAGTGGTCCATTTCAATAGTCAGCCAGCGGGCATGACACAAAAGTACGAGAACGGATTTCAAGAATGAACGTTCACTGACAAAGGAAAAAGTGTTCTGCAGGTTGATTATTGAAACTGATGGACAAAGTGATAGAAGGCAAAAGAGATTTGGATGGATCCTATTGGTGGAATTAAGTGGTTGCAATGGGCAAAGAAGGTAGGTAATAGAATAACTAACGACAACCCACGAGAGACCCAATAGTTAGTCCATCATTTTCTCCCTTAGTCTATGGGATCCACCCATTTCAAACAATAGGATAGCTTTATACTCCCTAGGTCTCCTTTGTCTATAGCGTTGTATATAAATTTCACTAATCAGCCCGCAGGTTGATTATTAAAATTGATAGACAAAGAAGACATGAAGAGTATGGAGCACTCCTATTGGTTGAAATGGTCGGTTCGATGGTTCCTATAGACTAAGGGAGAACCGATGGACTACAACTACAAGGCCTCTCGTGGGTTGACTTTAGTTAATCTATTACCTACCTCTTTTGTCCATTGCAACCTCCCCTTCCACCAATAGGATCCCTCCGTATACTTTATGCATTCTTTGTCTACAGATTTGTCTATCGATTTCAATAATCAGCCTGCTGGACAGGTTTTTTTGGGTGCGAACAATCCTGTATGCCATTGGTTGTTTGACGATTGAATTGGTTAGTTATAAAAGAGCTCAAGCGCTATATATACACATACGAAAAAAACAGTAGAAACTGGATGAACCAGACCGTTTTAAATTGCAGATTAATTAATTGATTAAATAATGATTGATCGAATGATTGATTAATGATGTGAATAATTAATTCATCGCTTTAATATTTTAGAGCTCCGAGATTTATAAGGGGTCGATTAAATGACCTGAAAAAAAGGCTAAATAGTCTTACCTAACCTAACCTAACTATCCATTTTTATGGCCATAGAAATGCCATTTTTGGACAAATGTTCAGATGTGGGTCATGAAATATGGTTTGGAGCACCCAGAAAAAAACAGTTACGGGCCATATAGACATACCGTACGTTCCGGGCTCAGAGGCCGAGATTCCCAGGTTCTAGAGACATAGATTTTAATGCTGCGGGTACTACACCCGGAACTTTCGGCCTCTGAGCCCGAAATGCGAACGATATTTCTATTTAACCCGTAAGTACGGCTTCCACGACCGGAGTTTTTTTGCAGTGCAGAAGCGTTCGCAGAGACCCCACAACCATAGGTTGTATACGATTCCCTAGGGACCGTCTTTTTAGCCCTACTCTGGTGAGAGCGAAGGCAAAAGTTTTTCGGTGAGGGAAATATTTGCTTGAGAGGGAGGGACTTCCGAAATATCTGTAACTACCTTGAAATTTTATCCATATTAATAAAAAATGTCCTTAAATAGATCAAGTCCAGGATTTAATGAGACAGAAGGCAATAGCTAGATCTTGTTGCCGATCTCCAGGAATTCGCCGAAAGTTCACGAAAGTCACTTCAAGAATGGACAATGGACTTTCATAGACAGAAAAAACAATGTTCTCGGCAGTTTTTTTGTGTTCAAAGGGAACGTCTTTTTAGCCCTATTCTGGTAAGGGCGAGGGCACAAGTTTTTCAGTGGTGGCAAGATTTGCTGGGGGGGAGGACTTCCGTAATCTCGATTACTAACTTGAAATCGATCCATGTTGATGAAAAATTCCTAGGTCAACTTCTGGATTTAATAAGACAGAAGGCAGTGGTTGGATCTCAGTAAGGGCGAAAGTTGTTCGGAAAAAGTAGAATTTGTTTAAGGGGGCAAGCCCGAAAATGCCCTAAAATTAATCAAATGTGAAAAAAGTCGCATTCAATAAAGTCAATTTTAGAATGCTGTGGGAGAGGGGCAAAAGTCAAATCTGCTGGGGAGGTCAAAAGTTGTTTGATGGAGGCATGATATGGCAGGAAAAACTTTCAAAAGTTTCCTAAAATGCCGTGGAATTTATCAAAATTACCCAACTGCGGGCCGATTATTGAAATTAATAGACATAGCTATATACAGCCGAGAAAACAAAAGGTATATGCAGGGATCCCAGCGGTGGAATCGGGTGGTTGAAATGGATAAATGCGGTAGGAAATAAACTAACTAACTGCAATCGACGAGAGACCCTTTAGTTAGTCCATAATTTTCACCCTTCCATAAGGATCACCCATCTCAACCAAAACGATCGCTCCATACTCCCTGTGTCTTCTTTGTCTATAGCTTTGTCTATCAATTTCAATAATCAGCTCGCTGACTAGCTTCACAATGCAGGGTTTAGGACACTTGCCCCTTTTTTCTCGCCAAATAACGTTCCTGATTATGGAAAGGATGGTACTGATTGAGTCAAGTATGTGACTTTTTGTACATACATACATACATACATACATACATACATGTCCCTTTGGCACTCCATGGCGCTCAGAGAGACCCAATCGTCATTGCTCCCTATCGAACCACAACTCTTCAGGAATCGAAGACCTTGAAATTTCTGCTTGGATCCCATCCCTTCGCTCTTTTATTGGAAGCTCTGCGGGCTGATTATTCAAATTGATAGACAAAGCTATAGACAAATAAGACAAAAGAGATATGGATGGATCCTATTAGTGGAAGCAAGTGGTTGCGATGGACAAAGGAGGTAGGAAATAGACTAACCAACAGCAACCCGCAAGGGACCCTTCAGTTTGTCCATTATTTGTCTCCTTAGTCTACAAGAACCACCCATTTAGCTCCTCATATCGACGGTGAAACTACCAAACCACGTATCTCGTTTGCGGTGTTTAAAAATCTACGCTCACATTTTATTTTTTTTGAAGTAGACCAAATCAATATCATTCCTTGAAATTTTCACGGAATTTTCTCCGCGCAAAAAGGAAAAATCACAGAAATTTTCAAGACTGGATGTTAAGTAGTTTTTCATGTAAAAAATAAAGTATGACAGGAAGTCTGCGACGTCGCAAACCGAGATACGTGGTTTGGTAGTTTCACCGTCGGTATGTACTTTCCGTGTTTAAAGCATTCTTATTTTGGCTAAGCGACGAAGATAGAGCAGACAACAGCTCCCCAGCCACGCGCCCTCTTATTTTTGGTGTACGATGTGACCGCCGTCCGTATGGTATACACGGTGAGTAATTTATTTACGCGAAGGCGTGGGTAAATCGTTGTTTTCTTACCGAATCGCTTTATTTTTAGGTAATTTCAAGAAATGGCCACTCTTCATGACGGCGAGTGCGGTAGAAGGGAATATATCCCACGATCAATTTCTGTCGTGATAGCAAAGAGATTAGCAAGTGCGATTCTGTATGAACCATGATTTTACCTCTAAAATGGCATTAATATAAAAATTCTTATTTGTTGGTAAATTTCGAGAGACTAAACTCCTTTTCATTTTTAACTAACCCTGATACAAAAGGTAGAAAATTACTATCTTTACTTTTTATTAAATGTATATAATTTTTCTAGTCTAGTGGCTATTAGTGGCTATTAGAGCCCTTAAATTAAATCAGTAAAAAAGTCTTATTGAAATAGGTAATCATCTATTCAAAATATCAGCATTAAATAAAATCGCCATATCATTTGCGGTATCAAAGTTAAGCAACTCTCATCAAAGATAGGCGGTATTATCATGATTGATTTAAAAG